CAGGGACAGAATCCCAGCTGGCGTAAAACAGCACAAATGCCACTGAAGTCAGCAGCATTATTGTATTTAAGCCAGCTAAAATTCTGACCCTAGTTCCTATTTCAAAATGCCTTATAATTCAACTAAAGCTTTAAAATTCTTTTCTTGGAGCGCTGACTGCTGGTTTGGAAATTTCCTTGCAGAAGTGTTAAACTCAATTGCACTCCATTACTTTGTGACTCAAGGAAGTAAACCATGAACGATGCTCCTTTCTTTCTTCCATTCATCATGTCCCCTTAAAAATGGTTTATGATGCTAAGAAGTAGTTTTTCTAATAGTACCTAGACTGGACAGTTGCTTCTTGCATTTTACAAACTTAAACCATCCCCCTTTGCATTTGGCTAAGTTGTTAGCTGAACATTTTTTGCGTATATTTATAAAACCTAATTATAAAACATTTTACTTCTTTCAAATGCTTTAAAACCGAGCAATTTCATAGTATTACCATGTCACAGGTATGGATTTCCCCAGCTCAAAGACTGACAGTGAATGAACTTGAGAAAAGGCTGCAAAGGAGGTAGCGTTAAGCTTGGGGTGACGGGCAATCCTGGCTCTCAGTCTTACATTTTCAGCTTCCACTGAACACTGCATGGTTCCCACGAGCACGGTAATCTGAACAGCTCATAAATACCCTGAAGAAAAGAAATACTAGTTGTCCTAATTCATAGATTAGGAACTGAAGCCCAGGGCTAAAGTCACACGTTCAATATCGCAATATCCCAAGCAGAAGTTAACTCTGTATTTCCAGACCCTGGCTAATGCTCCAAGTAGTGGACACCCCTGTAGCTCTGCTCTCCCTCATACAGAAAGAAAAAAAAAAAATCAGCTCTCAGATAACTGAGTATCTCAGATCTGATGTAGAATAAGATAGCAGAAAGATTAACACACACAATTTTACCATTCCAGAAGCTGACGATCACATTTCTTACCCAGCTGGCAGTAGACATGAACTGGGAAAAAGGATTTTCTTTGCAATATTCTTGCGTTGAGAATTGTTCCTGAGTAATAAGAGCTACTCTTTTCTCTCTGCAGAAAGCTCAGCCTGTTAAATTGCTCTTGTGATGGCTGAATCCACATTTCAGCTACAGCAGTGGGAAGCGCTGCAGGCAGGGCAATGCCCCCAAGAGGAGAGCGTTTCTCAGTTCACGGGATGATGAAACACATGTGAACTTTCCGTGCTCCAGCCAGCTTCTGGGAAACAATTTCTCTGTGCCTCAGTCTGATGTCGCACTGCCTCACTACTGCTTACTTTTCTCTTTGGAAAATCACCAGTGTCTCAAATAAAGAAGAAAAAATTACTTCAGTGGAGCAGCTAAGTTGGCAAGTAAAGTAGCAGACAGTAGCCCTAAAACTTTACAGAAAAGCATCGCTGAGATGTACCTCAGCATCTGACAGTTTGAATTGTGCCCTTCAGGTTTTAAAACCACAGAAACTTTGGTACACATCCATGTGGAACAGTTTATGTTGCTCAAGCATCACTTTCAATTTTGGCTAATAAATAAAAATGCAAACCAGCTCCATGACAACCAGCATGTAAGTGAGCGAACTGCCCAGCTGTGCCTTAATAAAGCTCTGTCCTCTCCCCTCACTGCATGTTGAAGGTTGCTTGTTTTAGGTAAGCACATGAAGTCATCAAAAGGAAGATTAATTTAAAAGCTGGAAAACTTTTTTCCTTTTTTTTGGAATGTCAGTAAGGACTGAGAGCCAGACTAACAAACTAACTGAGAAAGGACAAAGTGTTCACCCCCTCCCTCCCCTCCCACGGTTCTCCCGGTGACACCTCCCCTTCGCCAGCATTACCTAACTTTTACACAAACACGCAGTTCCTGTGAGCATCAACTTCAAACAGCTCTGGCTTTCTGTCTGATCGCATCTCAGTTTAGGGGACCAGAGGCAAAGAGCTACTACTGAGGGGTTCTGCCGCAGCTCTGCAAGGTAATCAACTTGTTGGATTTTTACTTTTTGTTTGTAATGCCTAACTAGTGGTTAAGTAGAAGGATCAAGAAAAGCCTCCTGGCAAACCGTCTTGCTGGAATTTGTAGTAGGAGAAAAGTCTCAATATAAACTCAAAAATAGTTTGTAAACAACACTTCGGCTTACTTGCTTCCTGCAGGGAAAAAGAGGCAGTTTTTAAGATCAAGATCTAGTGCAAAATATAAAATCACTAGTATTTCTTTTAGTCATGGGTGTCAGTTGTTTGTGTTTAAACATGCGTATGCATTCTGATTTAGTTTCAATTCATCACATTAGACAGATTTAGAAAGCAGCAGTCCACCCAGGACTATGCTCCGGCTGTTTTGCTCAGCCCCGCCACAGGCTGCGTGCCCTTCTCTCCAGCCATGCTGCTGCAAAAAGCTCTTAATTCTTTGTAGCTTCTTGTACCTTTTGCAGGCTCTGAATTGCCGAGATGCTTCTGCTTCTTTCTCTGGTCGCTGGGCTTGCCCTGTCTGCCTCTGGCATCATGACAGACAAAGAAACTGATCCAAGCCAAGAGTCATTTCATGACATACAGAAAAAAGTGAACGACCTCTGGCAGAAATTGCTCTATCCGGTAATGCCTGGTAATGAGACTGATGGGATGATTTACGCCACTTGTGAAATGAGGCCGAGCTCCAGAATAGATACTGACAAGCCACAAGTGACTGGACAAGTCTTATTCAGACAGTATTACTCATATGGAAGATTAGAAGCCATTTTTTACTTGGATGGGTTTCCGTTGGATAATAATCAATCTGGTAGAGCTGTACACATCCATGAGCTTGGGGATCTCAGCAACGGCTGTGATTCTACGGGAGGACACTATAACCCTTTCAGCGTGAATCACCCCCGTCACCCAGGGGATTTTGGCAACTTTTTTCCTAAAGAAGGCAAAATCAGAAAATACAAACCAAATCTCTCTGCCACTATGTTTGGTCCATATTCCATCATGGGCAGATCTGTTGTGATCCATGAGCAGGAAGACGACATGGGCAAGGGCAACAATAAAGCCAGTTTGGAAAATGGAAATGCTGGGAAACGTCTGGCTTGCTGCGTGATTGGGATATGCAACAAGAACTTGTGGGAAGAGAAACTGCCCGAGGCTACAGACAAGAAGAAGAGAGGGCTCAACAAACGAACATAGAACCAGGCTTAAGTCAAGACCGACAAGCCAGCTACGGCCCGGGCAGCACAGAGTACCTTAGGCTGTGCCACTGGCCACTAAAATATACGGCTAAAGGATTCCCATTTCCATTCGCTTGCTCCTCTAAGAAATGCGTATCACTTTGTAGAGCTTCCTTTCTGTAAGCCCATCAATAAAAACAGCATCAACTCAACATTGTGATGTATTTTCTTGAAGAGAAAAAATTCCCTTTTATGCGGTTTGGGAGTTGAATGCATGTAAGTAAGAGTGCTAACAGGTATGGTCGATAGTCTGTAAAGCGTCTGTGCGCTGTAAGGGGCTCTTAAGGGATCGTAAGTTAGATACCAAAGGAAAAAAAAGTTAATATGAGTAAGTAAGAAATTGCCTCTCATTAGATGCTACCCTGTATTTAGCTGCACATCTGAAAGGCAAAAAGATCTTTGTGCTTTCAGTAGTGTTGGGTGTTGTGTTGCAAGACCTGGATAATGGACTTCCCCTAAAAATAAGGGGAAGTACAGACATTTCCGTTTTAAACTTTAGATCCATTAGGTTATCCTACTTGTATTTTCAGGTTTACTTCTCAAACATGTATAAGCTTATTAACTATTTTAAATTGGCCACATGGCTATATAGCTAAATCACACTGTTTATATCTGAAAGCAGGCTTAAAAGAAATATTCCAGCTTACCATCGCTCCCCAGCAAAAATTCCCTAAAGCCTCTAGTTTGTGCCTGTTAGTAACTAAGTTGTATACAGAAGTTTTAATGCTGCTTAGACAATGATGATAAAGTTAGCAGATCACAGATAAATATTATTTTCAAAGCCAAAAAATGCTGAGTGTGTTTCTTCATACAAAAATGTAGGAAGTAAATCAGTCAATTTAGACTGGGAGAAGCAACAGTGAAAAGATTTGTCTGACAATTTTCAGACTTAAAACTCTACTCAATAAAGCTTTACTTTTTTAATTTAACACAATTCACTGAAAATACTAAAACACTACCTCATGACTATCATTCATCTGATACTGAGAAGAGAAAAGGAAACCAGCAGGTAGAACAAGCGTATGAGGAAATGTTTTTATTAAAGACGACAAAATGTATTAATACAGTTGAACTATGTTGTGCAGTTAATCCAGGCAGCAACAAAAGAAAGGTTTGCAAATAAACTGAACTGCATAATTTAGAAAGTAGAACTACAAAACAGAAGCTGGTAAACAAAATCCTATCTTTTAGAACTGTAGCAGACTTTCAACTTAATCTCAGTTAAGATTTTGAAATACATTCCTGAGCTCATATAGATTAAAGAAATTGCACTGTCTTTATTATACAAATTCCCATACGTTTAAAAAGTCTCACTTAGAAAAGCAGCAGCATTCTAAAAGATGCTTCTTGATCTGTCATTTTCACACACTTACTTTACAAATTCAGTGAACATTGTTTTTCAAATAACCACAACATTGTACTTTCAAATGAAATCCTTCTTGCAGATGATGCATGAATTCAGTTTCAGGTGAGACAACCTCCTTAAAATCAGTTTGTGAAATGCATCTTCTCCATACCCCTGCCACAACATTCCCTTCCCAGTTCACTTCTCCAGAGCCTAACACCAAAAAGGCTTGTATCTCTGGATGCAATTTCTGCATTTCTGAAGTCCTAGAAAAAGGAAAAACAAGTCTAAAAAAAAAACCCCAAACCCCAAACACCCCCCCCCAACCCTAAAGTAGTGTTGATTCCACACAAAGCACTAATTAATTTACTGGGGAAAAATCATCATTCTAATAGCACAACAGTATCAATTAAAGCAATACCCAAGGAAGATACTGACAAGAATATTCAATTAGTTATCGCATAGTGCAGCACAGATGTCTGTCTTTTACAAGTCTTCTGCCTTTGAAGTCTTGTGTTCCTGGGAGAAGGCTAAAAACGTAACAAGAATACACATTCACTGGGACACAAAGGAGAGGGACAGTATCGCAGCAGTGATGTCGCACTAAAAATGAGGTTTCCAGAGATCTAAATATCTCACTGGCATTTAATGATTGCAAAAATATAAAAATGGCATCTAAGAGGGAGAATGGTGTAAGGATAATTACCAAGATGTCCTAATTGTTGGCTTGTATGTTCTCGCAAAAAAAACATACTAGAAAGAATCAATGAATTAGGCACAAAAAGCTGTTGGTCCAGCACTAGCTTCTACCTGCTCAAATTTTTGCACCAAGTTTTTCATTAATTAATAGCGTTAACTGGCCGTTAAGGGACCAGGAGCAAAACGCTAACATACAATTGTGGGTCAGGAAAGACACAGGACAGGGAAACAATGTAACACCCTCAACATTTCTGAGCTCAGCTACCTGAAATCTTGACCTTCTTGTTCGCTTGTCTCAGTTCTGACTGCATTGATATTTAGCTCTGCACAGGATTAGTCTCTGAAAGATGGAAAAGAATACGTCTTGAATAAAATGCTACTTCATGTGACATTCAAGCATTAAAGGAAAAAACCCTGCCACATTCTCCCAGAGATTTCAGTTTCTGCAGCTATTTCTCTTCTGACTTGTCAGTACCGTCATACAAATGAGTCAATAATGCAGTCAGTTACAATTAATGGGAACAGCATAACAATCTTTCAAATACTTAAACTCTTCTTGGTTTTTCAGGTGATGAGGAACTTAAATGGTGATCAGGATAATGAAAGAAAAACTTTTTATTCCTTCATGTCCCTCATATGCTTAAATATACAGATGGTTTTTGTTCCTAAGGGCTGCTGCTCAGCATCAGTGAAATGCTGCAATGTCAAATTACCTTTAAAGAGAAAGGAAACATATTTGCAGAGCACCGCGAGTATGGCTTTATTGCCTGCAGACAGACACTGAAAGGGTTACCTGAATGCACCTGCTAGGGAAAACACATGAGAACACAGACAAGCCACATTTTTCACCTTCCCACTATCATTCCTTATATTTATATGTAATAATTTACATACAGCCTTTCTGCTGCTGAATACAAACTGTTCATGGACTCTGACACCTTGATTATGGCAGCACCTGCTAGCTCATCTTCCATATACAGAAGAGTTTGTCAGTATTGCTAATATAAACTCTGTTTATTCAGTGGCTGACAAGTGGGCTGTAAAAATTTGCAGCTGGCAGTTATTTGTCAAAGAAGGACTCAATCTGGGAGGGATTTTCCTTTTTATTAGTAGTATTTTATTAAATTTGGTTTAATTCTCTCTGATTGGTTTCAAGTTCTAGGAGTGAGAAATGAACATTTACAGACAATTAGGTCCCAAGCCAGCAGAAAAATTGCCTTGACGGCTGCTGGCCCATAGAAGCTCCACAGCTGCAGAGACTATACCTTATGCTACAGACAGGAGAGGAAGGACGTGCCTCCCCTTCTCCAACAGCTGCTAACTTCAACGTTAAGTATTCCCTTGTTGCTGCCTTCCTAGGAGCAGAGTGGCACAGCTCCAGCATCAGGAGCGAGCTAGGGAATGACACAGCAGCCTCCCTTTTCCCCAGTTATTATAGGAGTGTTTTCCTATGACTAAACATCAACAAGGGAAGATGCTTAAGAAAGAAGCAACAATGCAAATAAGCCTTCTACCACACCATAGGCTGGTGAAATGAGGAAAGGAAGAGTTATCCTTAATTCCAAAACATAAGAAAATAAAAGAGACACAGATTCCTTTAAAAAGGAGGGCAGATGGTGTAGGCTGAAATCTACCACCCGTTGCTCAGCCTGAGGGCTGTCCAGCTCCTCTAAGTTGAGGAATGCAATTCCAGTAACTGGGAGAGCCAAGAAGTGGACAGCGCATCACTGGTTCTCTTCTTGCTGTTCTCCTTGCTTTGGAACAGCATTGTCGTTTCTCACAGAAAGACTTCTGGCTTCTCTGATGACGTTTCCTTTAGAGCTTCGTTAAATTGGGTTCTCAGTATCTGGTGAAATAACTCCCTGAATTTTCATGGGATGAGCAGGGAGAGGGAAGGAAAAATTTTGTACAGTTGAGAAGATATAAAGGTTTGTGATAAGAGAACTATATACATGCAGGGATGGTTTTCAGAAACTTCCTATAAGGGCATAGTGATTTTATTCTAAGGATGTACTTACAGCCACTGTATGTAAAGAGAAATAGAACGCAGTCTGAGAAACAAGCAAAAGCTTGCAGCCTTAAGATGCGTCTCAATTTATCACTCCAAATTTTTCATCCTTGGAAGACACTTCTAACCATTAAAATACAGTCCAGCACTAGGACCATACACGTTGCAGAAGCCTAGTGATAACATGATAAATCATTATCATTGATCTCTCTGCTACATTAATGTAAATTACATCTATCTATGTAGAAACTTCAAATCATTACAAAAAACCAACATGATTAAACCTCATCACCAATTCTTTCCCATAGGTAATTTACATTTTTGGTACACTGTAGCCAAAACTAACAGAAAAACATCTTTATTAGACAAATATTAACAGTTCAATGTAAAAATCAACCCTACAGCACACTGTTTCACCGATCATATTTGCAGCAGCACAGACACTGCAAAAGGATTAGTGAGATACTCGAGGGCCTGGATTTCATACCTCAAGCCAAACTGTTATCCAAATATTCACAGTTTTAAG